CTGCTGGGGCTGCAGCCTCGCCAGGGCCCCGAGCGCTCCTGACTCATATCCTATAGGAAGAGCAGCAAAGCACGGACGTGGTGGAAAAGAAACGTCTCAGAAACGGGAGGAACGAGTGTGCGGAATCACAGCAGGGCTAAGATGACATGAAAGGAAAAGGGATGTGGGAGGAACAACCTCCCGCACTGGAGAGGAAGGTAATACGGTAAGGAAAGGTAATATGTTTTACCAGGCCAACTGGGATTTAACTTTAAAGCTGCTGCTTCTGAAGGGCGCGCTGCCCAAACGCACGTCTGCTTTTTTTCCAGCTATAATGAGTTCATCTAGCAGCAATTACCTTCTCACAAATTAAACCTTAGAAAGTGTGACTGCAGCGAGCTGGAATGGGGTAAAGAGGTCCAGCTCCCCCGTACTGGAGAGCAAACGATAAGGAAGTGAATAAGAAAAACTAGAAGATATGCAATTATCTTCCAGTGGTGCCCAACACAAAAGCTCTGTTTACCAGGCCAGGCTGTGTGAGTTACTTTACCCGTTCACAGCCCAGACGAGGGCCACCAGCAATGCCACAGGGCACGGGCGCCTGCTCTCCTCCCCATGCTTGTGGCACTGGGTAACCCTGATGCAGGCAGCAGTTCCAGGGATGTGCTGAACTCGCCACAGACCTGATCTGCATCTCGTTTGTGGTGGCCAAAGCAGCATCCGTTACTTGTCCCACCTGGGACAGCCGGGCTGCAGGAAGCAACACCCAGTACTTTTATTGTGGAGCTTGGGAGCTCCTGGCTGTGTGAGAATTGGTCTAAGGTGCAGGATGTGCGGAGCCTCGTGAAGGGCCGCGGGGCTGCTCAGCAAGAACAGCCCGCGGCAGCACGGAGCAGGGCGAGCGACAGCCCCGCGGCGAAGCGAGGGCCGGCGCGTCCCGCAGCGCGAACCGGGATAACCTTGGAGAGCAGCGGGATGCCAAAGCCAAGGCACCACTGGAGCAGAAGTGACGGCGAGCGTGGCGGGGACGGAGCTGAACGGGAATCAGCGAGCGGGAGGAGACGGCTCTGGACGCGTCGCTGCAGGAGGTCACCCCCGCCACGCACGAGGGCTGGCGACGGGCACAGAGTTCCCAGGAAGGCCTTTAGCAGCTCTTCGAGACGTGCATTTACACCAGCAGAGCTGGACGTCGCGCTCAGCTCCTCAGTGCAGACACAAACTTGGTGGTTTTACACATGTAAACGGCCCAAATTCACACGTGTCTGGATCTCGGGGCCAAGAGACCAGGGCCACTTCTCAAGGTTTCCTTCGGGCCATCACACCCACAAGAGGCCCTTCAAAGGCAGAGGCTGAGCCGCACACATCAGCTGCCAGCGCTTCGCCCTGACCTCAAGGCCCGCAGCAGTTTATAGACTTGGTTGAAAGCGCCTGCTCAAGGAGAAGCCCAAAGAGTCTGCTATTAATCCCGCTTCCAAGGCTGCAGAGACACATCAACACCCGCCTCCCGCCGGGAAGAATGCTGGTCCCGTTCCCAAGGAACGGAGCTCCGAGCCCGGCTCCCGCCGCGGTCCGTCACGCTCTGCAAACGGCCCAGCTGCTTCCACGCAACCAGTTCCCCACTTAGGTTCCCACCAGTCAGGGACAGCATTTTTTTTTTCCCTTCTTTCCAGACTCTGAAATTACAAATGGCTCCACTAAAAGCATAATCTTGTCCCGCTGAATTGCATCTCTCAGCTTTCTCTCTCTTTCATTAACAAATGTTTTAAGCCCCATAAAATGCACGCAATTCTTGGAAATGTGTCACAGACCAAGAAGCAAATGCAGGCCCTAACTCAGCAGCTAATGCCTCCAGAGTGCCCTCGCCTATTAGGAACAAATAGCTGAGACACTACACAGTTTTCTGGCGAGAGGCAGAGCAGGAGTGATGATGGAAACAATGCGCAGACAGAAAAGCTGCCCTGGTTTCCTCACTCTTTGGAGAGAGCTTTTTGGGGCTTGTTATATGGCCAACAGTTTATTTCCTGCCATGAGCAACCCAAGCCGGAGGCTCTGGAACGCTCTGCCCTGGTTCGCAGCCTGCCCTCGGTGTCAGGGAAAGCAGCCTCCAGGCTGGCCACGGTGTCACCTTCGAGATGAAACTTGTAGGGAGCAGCAAAGAAGGGAACAGGAATGAGCCACAGCACCTAGGGCAGCATCTTTTCCAGGGCAACACTAGCAAGAGCTAAAGGAGAGAGACACGACACATCTGCTGCATTTCTCACCGTCTCCAGGTTTGGTTCTTTGCAGCGAGCTGCTCTGTCCCTTCCCGAGCCAGCTCACTAACCGGGCAGGCACTGGCCATCCGCAATCCGCAATCACCGCAGCCCTTTTCTCCAGGAAATCCAGCCACTCGCCTCTTGAAAACTGAATGACTCTTGCTTTACCCCACTTAAAGCTAAATATCCTTCTTGCCGAGGGCGGGTTAGCACAATCTCATACAAGAACCACAAGTACCACTAGAAGAGAAGCCAGAATGTCCTGGCACTCCCGAGCAAGAGCGCGTCCTTGTCCCCGCGTGATTGCAAACCAGCTCCCACAGCAAGAGAGCAAAACACCCCCTTGCCCCTGGGGATGGCTGCCAACTTGCTGCTCACTGCAGAGATGTCTGGAGGGCTCTGAAGCCCAACCTGCAGCTGCATTAACCCGCGGTGCTCCCAGCTGTCCCCAGCCTGTTTGTCCAGCAGGACTTTCCTGACAACCAGAACTATTCCCAAACTCGAGGGGAAGCCGCACACGACCTACCCATGCAGGAAACCCACACACACAGGCACGTGAGCACAGGGGACGCTTCCATCACACCACATGAGAAAAGGGGACGCTTCCAGCTAAGCCATTTGCTTTGTTAAGCAGGACTAAGACAAGGGAGCTTTTCCTGGGGAAGATGACCCTGCAGAGCCACCAGGAGGTCACCTGTACGCATGGACACCTTCCAACACCCCAAAGCACGTGGTTCTGTGCAGCGGGAACCACAAGCCACACGCATGTCCCCCGTGCCAAGGGGACCCCCAAACCTCCCCCGTTACCTTTGCGAGCTCCTCGGTGCCGCCCTGCTGGCTCTGGCTCAGGAGCGGCGAGTGCCGCAGCAGCGGGTCCGGCAGCAGCTCCAGGCGCGGCCTCTTCGTCTCCATGAACTCCAGGTCGGCCGGCTTGGCCAGGTCGGACAGGTAGGAGTGCGCCTCGCTCCGCAGGTGCAGCTCCTGCCACCTGCACACACAGGAAGGAGACGTTAACGCGGGCGGCCCAGCTCTGCCCTCCTCTGCGCTAGGGCTGCTCAAAACGCTGCAAACCCGGCGAGCGGGACGGAGGTCTCCGATCCTGCCCGTTCCCCAGGGGGAGGCACCAAGGGCGAACGCTCCTCTGAGGCTGCAGAGACGGGATTTATTGGCACGAGATGGGGAAGAGCTGCCACCCCGGCCGCCGGCAGCTCCCCGACCTGGTGGGTCAGAGGGACGCTCGGTCCTGGGACGGCCACTGCTCCCATCGGGCTCTAACATCCTGCACCTGCCAATAAGATGCAGCTGGGGGGTTGTTCTTAAAAACGAGCACAAAACTTATTTTGTGGCTGGGTGTTTCCTAACAGGAGTCTCCTGAGGGAATTGTAAAGGGATCCTACAAAACACGTTGAACCTTTTACTGTGCTGGAGGATCAAGCTCTGCTGCAGCCGCTCCAAGGGTGTGTTTTTAACACCTCGGGCAGCTGTTCCTCTTAAAAACACACGCACAGGACAGTCCAAGCTTGGAGAAAAGCACGGGGTTTTTTTCCCTGCTTCCCACCCTGAACAAGCTTGTCCAAGCCCTCCCAAGCCGCACGGTGTGAGAATCCCCCCAGATACCAAACCCAAACCAAGCAAAGGGCCTCTGAGCTGCGCGGCGCAACAGAGAGAAGGGAGGCAGCCCAAAGACAGGGAGATCCCGTGCAGGGTCGGGCCCTGTTGGCCTCCTGGGATCACTGGCGTTAACCCTCACGCAGGGCTGGGAGGGGAGGCTGGAAGGGGAACGATCCGCAGGCACCTCCAGCGTCTCCCGCAGCTCCGGCTCCGCTGCAAAACTGAGCAACAACCAGCAACTGTTGAGCAGGGCAGGTGCTAAAATATTCCAACACCCAAGGCAGTGCTGCACCGCGGCAATTAAAACGCCGACATAGTCATTTATTTTTAAAGGCCCTATTAGGGAGAAGCTGCTAATTGACCCAGGACAGCTCTGAGAGCTCCGCAGTTGTCGGCGGCGCAACGTGAGCCGCGTATTCCGGCAAGGGCAGCGCTGCGCGTGACGCGGGCGGCCGCGGCGAGCCAGGCGCCGTGCTGGGGAAAGCAGCTGCTACGTTATGGGGTGCTATTCCATTTCCATTTCCACATCCACTGGAGCTTCCATTAAATTTATCCACTGGAATTTCCAGCCGCTCCCGCGATTGCTTTGCCCAGCATAACCCGCTCAGCCTGTCTTGGCTGCAAATAAACACACTCCTACGTGAGGCCTTCACACCTTTCCTCTTTACATCCACACCTGCAGCGAGCTCTTTGCAGCGCATTTTTATAGAGCAGTGACGTTGAGAAAATACTCTGCCAAAAAGAAAAAAAGATCTGTTGCATTCAGTTTGGGGTTTTGCTGCGTTTTCTAAATAATTCCCAGCTGTCTCGCCCGGGTATCAGGGCAAAAATCCCTTCTCCCCTTTGCAGCCAAGGGTTCAGCACCAGCAGCACCGCTCAGCGGGCTCCCGGAAAGCTCCCAGAAAGGGGACATTTTGTCTAAATTTTGCTCCCATCCACACAGAGCGTTCCCTACAACACAGAGCCAAGCACAACAGGGCGGAAAACTGGCTCTCTGTTCCTTGGAAGCAGAACCGAGGTGGAGTATCACCTTGGAGTAACTGTTTATTTCCTCTGGCTGAGGCGGTTCGGAGAGGGATTGTCTCCAAAAATAAGGATTGAGAAGACCCGTAACCCTCCAGTCCCCACAGATGCAGACAGACAAGAAAACGCTTTTGAGGGCAAGTACTAGAGACGAGCACGAGCGCTGCAGTGAATTATTTATAGCCCGTGCTAAGATTTGTCTGAGGTTTCAGCGACTCCTTTACATGATCTGCAGAGCAGGCGAGCGGGCAGCTGAGACTTGTCAGAAGGAGAAAGCAGAGGGTCTGCAGGAGCAAACCTGCCACCAGGCAGCTCCAAAGACACGGCCCGGGGGCAGCTGATGTTCCCTCTGTCACCACGTCCTGATGTTCCCTCTGTCACCGCGTTGGCGGGGGACAGAAACGCCACGGCCTGAGAGCAGAGGCCTGGGCAGGAGCGCTCGGGTGGCACAAGCTGAGGGTGCAGGACAGTCACCTGGGGAGCTTCTTGCAAGGTGCCTCCCGCTTGGAGGGGAGCAGCTGCTGCACTGGACACTGGTATGTTTAAGAGCCCAACATGCAGGGCCTGAATTACAGCCAGGACCACCAGAAGCTTGAAACAACTGCAAAACCCTCGTGGCAGTGGAGGGGCCCTGGGGCACTTCAGCAGGCCCCTTGCGTGCTCCCCAAAATCCCCTTTCCTGCCTCAAACTGCTGCAGGGTTGCACCCGGCAGAGCTATTCCAGGAGCTTCCACCCTCCATCCCAGCAAGGAGAAGCCTGCATGCCATGCTCCCATCCACCCGGGCACACGAGCCCGTCCCACCAAGCCCAGCGCCTCCAGCAAGTCCCTGTGCCCGCGCGGATGGACCTGATGCTGGTGGCACGAAGGGCACTCGCGGGGCAGGATGTGACACGGAGCAACCGCGCACCAGCGGCCGCCCTTCCCAGCCCTTGTCGGAGGGAAAGGAGAAAGAAAATCCCGCTTGCAGAACGTCACTTGAAGCCGCAGCGAGTGACGCTCACCGGGGATCTCACTCGCTCGCTCCCGAGGAAAGGGTCACCTTTGCAAACGGAAACTTAATTAAAGGTCATAAATAACAGCCGCTTGGCCGCGCCGTTAACTCTGCAACAGTTGGTGCCATTTGGCCCAGCGCAGATTAAGACCTAAAACTGCACGTTATATCCAAGAGCCGGAGCGCCGCGCCGGTGCTCCGCACGCTCCCCGGGCTCCTTAGGCAGCGGGATTAATCGCGGTGGATCCGCGCGGCAATCAGGCGCGCGCTCACGCCGTGCTGCACGCGGCTGTCCCGACGGCTGCAGAAACGCAGCAGCTGCTCAGCATTCCCCAAATATCCTGCTCCGGAGCCACGCGGGAGAGCTCTCCAAACTCGCAGTGCCTTCTAAGCAGATGGACTTCAGGAAAGAGCACGGTCTCGTGAACTGGTAAAATGATCCCCTAGGAAAATAATGACTCATCTTCTGCTGGAGAAGGGCAGAATAGACTGTGTGCACACACACACACTGCGGATTACGGCCACCTCTTCCACCAGTGCGACCAAGAGCCATCCTAGCACCACGGTGGAGTCTGGCTCCATCACACATATGAAAGAGTCAAGAAACAGCTTTGATTTTCAGGAGCTCTGTCCCACCAGCACCTGCCACTGAACACTCAACCCAGTTATTCTCATTTCTTCTGCAGATCAAAATATATGTAGAAGAGAAAACTCTAATCCTTGTCCCCCTGCCAGGACATTCCTCTGCGAGAATTCCTGGGACGACTTGTACCAACAGCAGATCCTGAAATACTTCTATGTGCTCCTGCACTCCAGCTGGCACCGCCAAGCGAACAAGCTACGGGGAAGTCTGTGGATCCTTCCCAAAAAGAAAGATTGCTACCAAAAAAACCACCAAGGAAAGCAGCACATCCCTGCGAGGAAACCCGGGGCCAGCCTTCCCACAGCCTCCGGGCCGAGTGCTTCAAGTTCAAGATTCTGGAAGTGTCAGACGCAGCAAGTGGCACCAGACGCCGCTTCCTTGCAGAGCGTGGAAGGGCTCCCCTCGGCACTGCTGGATGTCAGGAAGCGGGAGAAGGGAAGGGAGGCTGGAAACCCTGGAATAACCGTGATCCCCGCTCTGCAGAGCCACATGCAGCCCGCGCTGCTCGTTCCCCATCCCCGTGGCGGGTCCCTGCCTTGCACGCAGTGTCTCTTCAGCACCGCTTGCTCCCTCCTCCGGTGCCCGTCACACTGAGAGCTGCTGCCTCTGCTGCAGAAGCTGCCCCGGGGCTGGGAACGGAGCCAAGGCACTTGCAGATGTGCCCGGCAGGACCTGCAAAGGGACTCGGCTGCAGCCACGCCCGCCTCGTCCCGGCTTCGCCCCCGCCCCCGGCAGAGCCCATCGTTCCGGCCCGGCCTGCTCCGGGAGCTCCAGCCCGTGGCCTCCCGCTTGCAGCCAACCGGCCCAAGCGCCCGGGCGCCCCGAGGGCTCCGGCCACGCGGGTCTCGCCCGCTGCCACCGCGGATTCTCCGAGCACGGAGAAGCAGAGCCCCCACGGGGCAGCTTTCCAGAACCGGGATGTGGAGCTGCGGGAAAACAGGGCCTGAGTTTGCAAGAGAGCCCAACCTGGTTTGAACAAGGTTAATAATTACACTGGGATGAAAAATTCCAGAGACACCCCCATCATGCAGCCCCACATGCCCAACTGCTTCTAGTTGTTTTTTAAACACATCTATAACCTAGTATGCTAATTGAGCTAAACTTAGGGGGTATTTTTAGCCTTACTACTGAGTATATTTTTTGCGAAAGTTCAATTCTTCAGATGCTGCAGGGAAAAAGTGTGAAATGGAAAATCGAGGCTGTTTAAAAAGAAAGTTTCACTTTCTACCACACCTCAACTTAAACACCGCAGTTAAAAAGTGCTGACATACTCAAGGTGCTTGGATGTGCGTCTGGACATGGCAACCCCAGCCTGCATCTACCCACATTCAAGCAATTAGCAACGGCCATAAAATCATTGCAGGGAGGGTTTGACACGTGCTGAGATGCTGGAGTGAGACGCTTGGATGACTGTCCTAGAGTCAGTGTGTGGTGCGGCCTGCACCAAGGTTTGCAAGCTGGTTTTCTGTTATTTGGAGGAACTAAGATACGTTTTTAAAATAGCACATTCAGAAACCTTAGTTTTACTGGAGAGCAGACCCGGTTCTCCATTTTGCCAACCGTAAGGAGGGTGTTCACAGCTCTGAAACAAAAGCAGGCGGGGACCCCGCTCGGCAGGAAGGGGGGACGATGGCACCAGGACACGAGGGAGCTGCCCCCGTTTCCAGCAAAACACCAGGTCGACAGCACGTGCATCCAGTGCCCCCCGCAGCCCTTCTCTCCCCAGGGAATTACCATTTTAGAGAAACAGACTCATCTCTCACCAGCCACAAGCAACAGCTCAGTGGCTCTGCACTGCTTTTATTCTTAGCCTGACCAGGGAGGCGACTTATGCAAAGCTTTTTTTGACAATCTACTGCTCTAAGGTTCGTATTTTGCTTCCAGGCTATTTTTTTCCAAAACCACTAAGCATCAAATGCAGAAGAGAAACTGTGAACCGGAGAGAGAGCAGCGTTTTGTGACGAAACGGAGAGCGAGAGCGACGGCCTTTAAAGCACAGCAGCTCCTGTGGTTAATGCAGCTACTGCATTTCTAGCCACATGGCACTTGCCCGGGTCGCACACAAAACACCATCAGTCTCACACGGGAGAGAGGATCAGACAGGGAAAAACAAAAACAAAAACCCCAGAGAAAGTTGCAAGAGGAATGGAGAAAGAGAAACAGAAACCCCGAAAGCGAGGGGGAAGAGAGCAGCAAAAGAGGAAGTGGAGATGAAGGATGGAAACGACTGAAGGGAGGAGAGAGAACAGCTCAGGGGAGCTAAACCACCAGTGCAGCATCATTTTCCACCCTGCAGAAAGCCAGCGCCACCAGTTACGGGCACAGGAGCCTCACGGGAGGCTGGGGGGAAGGGGAGTTGGGAGGTCTTTAGTGTGATGGATGATCCAGGGAAGGGGCCAGCTGGCAAAGGTGTCACTCGCATTAGCACTACTGAGCTAGGACGGGCCCGGGGACAGAGCGTGACCTGCAGCAGTAACATAACAAAGCAGAGGTGCCCCAGAGCCCCCTTGGAGTCACCACGCAGTGCCAGCGCTGGCCACAAGAGCAGGAGGGTGCTCGGGACACGCGGGGGACCCAGCGACGGGACCTTTACCTCTCGTTGCCTGGCTGGAACTCGGAGAGCAGGGACGGCCTCCTCCGCTGCGGCTGCATGATGGACCCGGGCGGCAGGTGGGACGCGTAATCCCTGGAATGATGCTGGTACTCTAGGAGCGCCACATCCTGCGGGAGCAAACACAGGGACACGTCGGCATGGCCTTTCAGAAGGAAAAAAGAAGGGGATGAGAAATCACAGCGTTATCTTGACAGCGGCCCTTCAAACACAGCCCCCCTGGGCTGCGCTCGAGCAGCCTCCGAGGAGAGTTTGCTACTTATTATGTGCACGTCCATTTTGTTCCTTGACCCTTGGAGAGTACAGTACGGTATGTTCCCGCTTTAATTAAATAAGAAGCCCTCCTGCTCTGTGCCACGGCTGCTTCCAGCAGCAGCGTTTCAGCAGCTACATTTCAATTGCAATGTTTTATTTGCAGATAGATACTTGACCAGAAAAGAAGACTAATCATCTAATTAACCAAGACCTTGAGCAGTGGCGTAGAAAGCCCGGCCACTGAATAGCCCTGGTAACACTGACAGATATTTAAGTTAGAAAGAGCCTCCTAGGAGTCTGTTTTGAACCGTTCTCACCTGGAATAATAAAGCTCCAACTCCTTTAAAAAATCGAAGACTGAAATCAGCAAATCAAATAATAAGTGCATGCAGTGAGGGTAGAGGGGATCTTAGCTATAAGAGATGCCACAGAAATTATTTGATCAGATGTGACGAAGACCGATATGGCGCAATACTATAGAGTAACTGAAAAAGTACCTAAATAAGATGAATTTGACAGAGAAATAAAGGATTTGGGAGCTTAGATCGCAGCCGTTCCCCTGCAGAGCCCTTCTCCCAGGCTGGCGCTGGGCTCACGCGCTCCTGCACTGCATCCCCTGCGGACGGGGAGGAAACAGCAGGCAGTGTCAGAGCTCCACGGCCCCGGCTCTCGCAGGGCAGAACGGCATGTTTGCATAGTGGCTTTCTGGAAAGCCGGGAAGAAAAAGAGAAATCCGAAGCACTCTGTGCTGGGGAGCCAAGAAAAACACATCCCCTACCCCAAGCTCAACCTCGCTTGCACAAAAGCTGAAAAGAGCCAAATAGCGAAAGGAGAAGGAGGGGAATGGTGGTGTCTGCTGCCTGCTAGTCCTCTCTGTGCCTGGAATAGCACGGGATATTAATTCTTGGAAGCAGGCTCATCCCTCCTCAACAGCTGGCAGTAGAGCAGTGCTATTCTTTGCTCTTTCTTGACTGAACTTGGCCTTGTTCGGCCTGTAGGAGCATAAGGGGGAGCTTGCAAGACACCTCCTCCATCCGGGGTCACAGGCGATGCCACTCCTGACACCTGGACACAAATCAGACCCGTAAGGGCGGGGGACATGTCCCAATAGGCCCACAACTCGGACCGTCACCTTCCGTGGGCGAATGAACTGGAATTACCCGTCTGGGAGGCTGTGTTCTTGGAAGGAGGTTCCTGCGTGTGCTGAGAACACCCCTTTCCCCTGCCCGCGCTCACTCCAGTCCTGCCTTTTCCCTTTCCATCCCTCCTCAGAAAGCTCCTGCCGCAGCTCGGAGCTCCTCACGCAGCCCGTCGGGATGGTCAACGAGCACCATCTCCAGCTTTTCCAGATACGGCCCAACGCTTCCCGACCTGCTCCACTTGCTCACATTAACATTTGGTTTTAGCAGAAGAAAACATAACTGGAAAAATCAGTAAGGGGGATGAAGTTAATGCCTTCTTCACTTGCTGACAGAAAATAACCTCCTCTGCTCAGCAGAAGGAAGAGGGAATATTTCCTAACCAAAACCAAAGCAAAACAACAGCACAATCACAGACGTCTCCATTTCGAGACCTGATCTTCTGCATAACAGGACAGCAGCTTCCCCAAAAACAACCCTGGACAAAGGCCCCATGGCAGCTCCGACAGCGAGGGTAGCGCTCGGCCGGAGCGCAGGGGCGACGTCCTCGTGCCGCGGCGGCTCCACGGCAGCTCGTGGGCAGCCTCCTTCTGCTGGCCCTAACAGAGCTGCTTTCCGGCCGGATTCCCCCATCCCGAGCTCAGGGACGCCTGGAAGCCGCCCAGGCGGGAGAGGACGGCCGGGTCCCTGCGGCTGCGGCGGAGCGGCCGGCTCCTCTCCAGCTTCCAGGCCCGGGAACGCGCCGCTCCCGCTGCCCTTCCCAATCCGCCTGGCGTCACACCGGGCTGCAGCAGCGCCCGGCCGAGGAAAGAGGGGCCGTCGAGCACAGGAGCAGACAACTCGGAGCCAGCAAACGGCATCTCTGAAGCTTAGTGAGGAGCCAGCTGGGCCAAACGGGGAAAAGGACAAGGACGGTCGCGGGACGACCGTCACTGCAGCCCCAGCACGAGAACGGCCGCGAACACGGAGCCCTCTGCATCCCGGGGCACGCGGATCAGCTCCCGAGGCAGCTGCCGGTTCCATGAGGGACATCGCAGCCCCGTGCAACGACCATGGGAAGCCACAGGAACTCCCCCCGTTGCTCCC